CGCCAAGCGGCAGGCCTTCCCCCCCACCTCCACCATGATGGAAGTGTTCCTCCAAGAAAAGCAGCCGGGGGCAACGGCCTCCATCACAGCTCCGCCACCTCCGTCCTCCCCCCTAGCCACCAAAACCAACCCTGTCTCCCAGATGCCCCCAGGGTCCTCTAGTCCTCAGCCGACCCAGCAGAAGTTGAAACAACAGAAGAAGAAGGCCTCCTTGACATCAAAGGTAGGGGAGTTGGGAGGGGGCAGGGATCCCCTTGAAACTGGACCTGTTGCCCAGTGAGGCCTTTTGGGTGGGGGGGCTGACGTAGTAAACTGGCTAACTAGTACACCATGTGGGTTCTTCTAGAGCAGTGTTTCTCAACCGTGGCAGCTTCCAGACAGGTGGACTTCAACTCCCAGAATTCCTCGGCCAGCCCTGCTGGCTGGGGAATTCTGGGAGTTGAAGTCCACACATCTTCAGGTGGCCATGGTTGAGAAACTCTGTTCTAGGGTGAGGTGCCCCACCCAAAACCCTGGGTCCACAACCATTTTTCAGCACAGTCCCTGCTGTTCTTCCCAGAGCTGCTACTGCGTTGTTGTTGAATGCAGTTGAATGGGGAAATCATTAAAATGGCCCAATGAATTGAATTACCTTTAGATTAAAACAAATGGAGTTATGGTCTTGGCCCTGACCGCTCTTTTGGGGAGCCTGCCCCCAGCCAGCCCCTTCCAAGCCAGGTATTTTAACTCGGCAAAGTTGAAAACCCTTGATTTATCCATGACTCCCAGCGAGCTTCATTTGAATTGATCCGGCCTTAGATAGGCGGCATGCCAGTAGACCCTTTTTGGTTCTGCCGTAGCCTTAAAGGGGGGACAGCGCATGCCATAGCAAATGCCAGGACCACTGGTGGATATGCTGTTGCAGCTACGTAGCTGGCCAGCTGCCTCTGATGCCTGAACAAGCCTGTTCTTTGGTGCCCAATTCTACAGTTCCTAGAAGGTTTAGACCCTGTTGCATTCCTCCCTTCCTAAACGTAAAAAAGCTGAACACACGCTCCCCCCACCCCAAGTTCCCACATTGCGTTTCAAGTCAATCCATCTCATCCTCAGATTCCTGCTCTGGCGGTGGAGATGCCTGGTTCTGCGGATATTTCGGGACTCAATTTGCAGTTCGGGGCGTTGCAGTTTGGCTCGGAGCCCGTCCTCTCAGAGTACGAATCGACCCCTGCTACGAGCACCTCTGTGAGCCAGCCTCCCAACAGCCTGTACACAAGCACGGCAAGGTGAATCAGAAACCTCTCACAGCCAGGGGGGCAGCAAAGGACAACGCTATATATATTGATGAAGTAGAATCAAGGCTCAGGGGCAGAGGGTTCGAGTCCCCTTTAAGCGTAAATGAAGGCTTTCACGGCAGATGTGAAATTCACCAGCGGCCCAATAGCGTTGACCACTCCCGGGGCTCAGAGCCCCTCTATCGTTCCCACCCCCAGTGGGTGCAAAATCTATTGCCAAAAAACTATACCCTTGAGTGGCTGGACCAGTATTTCTCAACCTTGGCAGCTTGAAGATGGGTGGACTTCTGGCTGGCTGGGGAATTCTGGGAGTTGAAGTCCACCCATCTTCAAGTTGCCAAAGTTGAGAAACACCGAACTAGAGTGTCGCGGGAGAATCAAGGAGCTCCAGATATCCAACTAGTTCGTCAAATTCATGTTCGGAAGGTAACGTTGGAAGAATAAAATAGGAGGAAGGAACCATAAGCTTTGAGATCCCAGAAGGCAGAGCTAGATAAAAACGCTGCAGAGTTTAAATGTTTCTCTTTCCACTCTTTGAAGGACCAGCACTGACATAGCTAGACCTGGCTCTAATTCTGGGAAACCTTCCGATCTCAGCTTACAGTTGGGTTTCTGTCGGTCTTCCTTCCTAGCGAGTCTCTGTCCACGATTTCGTCCAACAAGAGCCAGGAGCCAGGTTTCCAGAGCAGCAGCTTGCCTGCAGCAACGTATACCTCCCAGAACAGTGCTCAGGGACCACTGTACGAACAGAGATCCACTCAGACCCGGCGGTATCCAAACTCCATTTCCTCCTCACCCCAAAAAGACTTGAGCCAGGCCAAGGTAGGCTCGCCCTCGTGACGGAGAATTCTGGAGCAGGACAGCCGGCTGGGTTGCCTCCTGCAGGTTGAACCTGAAACTGAGAGAATGCATCGATTGCATTTTAAGAATTTTTAGCCCTCCCCTTCAGCAACAAAGCTTCCGGGGATTTTAAAGCATGCTGGACATGTACCTCTAGCAAAGGCTGACCCAGCCCTTTTCTTGTCCTTTTACCTCTAGAATGGCTTCAGCTCGGTGCCACCCACGCAGTTGCAAACCACCCAGGCAGCTGAAGGTAAGCCCCTGGCTTGGGCACGTGGGTGGGTGGGTGGGGGTGGTATGATGACCCTTAGCAGCCTGCAACGTGTCGCCTTTGCACGCAAGGAGCGATGCTGCAGATGCTAGCATTGTGAGCTGAGAAGAGCTGTGAGATGCGAGCTTACCTTCTCTGTGCCTCAGGGGAAGATACCCTCCCTTGGTTTCTTTGCTGCCTGACAGAATTCTTTCAAGGGTTTTGGGTGCAACCCCCATGCTCATTAGGACTGATAGCAGTTGGGCGCTGATGACATCTGGAAGTCCTTGAATTGCCCATTTCTGATATCCATGGAGAACTTTAGCTATA